CATTCCACTGTGCCCGTCAAACTGAGATATAAGTTAACAAGTCCCATGTGCCTGTAATTTTACCAGCACCCTTACCCCTTCAAAACCGGAACGCAGTAATGCTCACATTACTGCTTTGCGGCAGAAATAGGCAAAGTGGCAGTACTTCCCTGCAGAAACACTTTCACGATGAGCTCTGCTAATAAAAATGTAAATGTAAAAATTTACCAAGTAAAATTAAAATGTTGTATTTTTGGAAATAGGGTTTCCAACTTTCGGTTAATATCTATGTTGGCTAGAATTCTTATAATAATAATAATAACGCTCACACTCAACATAGCCCCGCACCAGGGAAACCCTGCGTCGCGGGTGCCATGGACACACACATAGACAACCACAAATTACACCCAAACTCACGAGAGAAACAAATGTAGGCCATACAAATATTTCTCCCAGCCCGGGAATCGAACCTGGGACCTCTGCGTGGCAGTCCGGCGTGGTAACCGTTCGGCCACGGAGGCAGTTTTATTTTTTCGGAGCATAATTTTTTTCTTTAATGTCAAAATTGAGGGAAATTCAGTTCTGTTCCCCCACATTGTTACACCGTAGGTGAACCACGGATACTCGACGTAGAGGAACTATGTATATACAGAGCCTATACAGCTATTACCGTGAGTATTTCTATGTAGCAGCTGTATAGGTATGTGTAATGTATTATCGATTCATATGTCACCACGTCCGTGGCGTGGACAGTAAAAATCCGTCACAAGGCCAGGTAGGGTGGACTGCCGTTATAGATAGAAAGACATACCTCATTGAATTCTGATTCTAACCTTTACACATAAGAAACTATAGTTCCAACTTTTGGAGCTCTTTACGGGTCCTCATTGTCACGGCTGACTGGGATGGTAAAATCACCGAAGTCATATTTCAGAATAACGTGGTTTGCTTTGAATTGAGAGGAAGTACTGCCATTTTACCTATTTCTGCCACCAAGCATTAATGTGACCATTACTGTGTTCCGGTTTTAAAGGCTATGGGTGCTGGTGGAATTACGGACTTGTCAACTTATGTCTCAGGGTAACGGGCGCTGTGGCAGTGGCCCTCGGATCTTTGCGATTTAATGCTCTGAGTGGCAAATTGAAAAGTGATTTAATATTATCATTTCTTTACAATTTGAAGTTTAAGTATATTAAAAAAAATGATAATGACTTTTTAACTAATTTAATTTTAATTATAATTTTGGTTTTACTTTGTTTTTATAAATTTAGTCTCATGTATGTATGCAAAATTCTTAAATATTTGTAGTTTTAATATTCTGTAAGTGAGCATTTTGGACCAGATACGAGCTTACCCATAATTGGAATACATACAAGAACAATACTAGGTACATGTATGTAATATCTAGAAGTATGAACCGAGACCTCATCTCTGGAGCTGATTACCTGTTAATAGTCCGAAATGACATTTTCCAGAAATAACGTTTGATCGAATTTTCATTACCTCGAAAGTAATTTTGAGAGAAAAATGTTTTTTCTTTTAAACCTAACTTAACCTAACCTAATCGTGTCTTTGCGATAAACATCCAACATATCCTGAAAGAACCGTTATAATTCGGTTTTCAGTGTAATGAAAATTCGAACAAACGTTACTTCGGAAAAAAAAATTCGAGTTTGTGATAGGTTACCTTGGAGCTGTGACGTCAGTACAACCGAGAGGAGTAGACGTAGACCAGTGCGACGAGGACGGTTTCAAAAAGGTGGAAAAGAAAAAAAATACACCAGCCGTAACCTTTGTCCCTAATCATCTATTAAGTCCAGCAATAACGACGACATTGTTATACGTGTCACGGCTTCGTAACCACCCGATTCACACGGCATTGTACTGCATGTTTTTTGCAGTACAAATTCGAACCGAATAAACAGTGGCGCATACATTAGATATAGAACCGTTCACGCGGTGTTTGTCCTGCAAAAAACGCACACACATACAAACGCACATCGAATACTGCAAAAGAACGTACAGTGTAATGCCGTGTGAACAGGGGGTTACTCCACAAAGTCTGCAGTCTGCTCAGTGTGCGGGTCTGAAAGTCGAGCGGTTGGGATCCCGCCACAATGTGAATTTTTATTTACATGTGTCGTGAGAGCACCAACTCAACATCTGTCAACCTTCATGAAGGAGGAATTTTGGCCGAAGAGTATCATGTATAGACGTTTTCGAGGTCGGTTACTGGACACCCACGTTGCGTTACACGTCGCAGTCCATACGTGTAAATAAATAGTGTTTTATTATATTTTTATGTATGTTAGTCTATAAGGTGTATTTATAGGTAACCTCCGTGACCGAACGGTCAACAGCATGCTTGTCTACCACGCAGAGGTCCCGGGTTCAATTCCCGAGCGGAGAGAATTATTTGTATACCCTACATTTGTTTCTCTCGTGAGTTTGGGTGTAATTTGTGGTTGTCTATGTGTGTGACCATGGCACCCGTGACACAGGGTTTCATAGTGTGGGGCTACGAGTTAGTGTGTTTAAAAACAAAACATGTGCAATTCAACAAACAAATAAATAAATCAGGTAGAATGTCTACTAGCTTGCACAATTACGGCATAATAAAAATTGAAGGTTTAAAAGAACTGTAAGGTTACGATTACGGTATTCCAGACAAAGGATCAGCAACCACTGCTTTGTAAACTACGTTTCATAGAAATGTCATAATTTCCTTACATTGTTTCGACAACATGCTCATGGACGCTATTTGCAGTGGATTATGCAATCTAGAATCCATTGTGTCAACTTTCTTTGTTGAAAAATCAGCCTCATCCGCAAAATGATAATTTTTCAGGAGACAAATTAAAGATTTGTTATAATTATTAATACAAAGATCGAACACTCAGAAAAAATTCCTTCGATCCGGTCGGATTCGAACCGACGTCTTCTTGCATACCGTGGCTGACGCTATACCAACTAAGCCACGGAACGAACCAACGCACCTCACGAATTTTTCTATGTGCTTGCGTCGTGTCTTCATACTTGGTCTTTCAACGACTTTTTAGTCGTAGCGCCATCTATGAGAAATTTATTGCAGATTTATTACCCAGTTAGTACCTTTACAGCTACCAGTCCTGGCGAGAGATGTCGCTATTCACTGTATTAATTAAATTGCTTAAATAGGCACCTTATAAAACTTCACATAAACATCATTTGTTTCTATGTACTTCGTTATATTTTTATGACTTACATGAGTATAAGAAAACACCTTTGACGTAATCAAATGAAATCATTTATTGCTTTAAATATGGTAACTAAGTACAGCCAAGAGCACATCAAGCTTGACACTTTGGACTGTTCTTATTGCAAGCGGCATAGTGTCTTAAGTGTCAAGCTTGACGTGTTCTTGACCCTGTACAATACTAGATGGTAATGTTTACAGAATAATGTATCACACATTTAGCCATTCAATATATAAAATAAGAATCAATGCAACACGCTGTGTATTAATTATATACAAAATGAAAGAGATTATGTAGAAACGTACCTAATAACCTGTTGCTAATTTTAACTACCTCAATAAAAAGTGCATTGATGGCCAATCTATTACATCTACTATTATGTAGCTACTGCTTACATAAATTCTTCTCGCGAGTGTTTGTTAGTTTTTTTGGTAAAAACTAAAAAACGTCGACGCTCCCGAGTATATGTAGTTTAGTAGCAGTAGAGCTTCTTGTGAACGAGTTCGTCCAGGGTAGTACTGCCACATTACCTATTTCTGCCGCCATGCAGTAATGTCAGCATAACCGTGTTCCAGTTTTGAAGGGAAAGGGTGCTGGTGAAATTACAAGCACATGGGACTTGTCAACTTATGTCTCAGGGTGACGGGCGCAGTAGAAATGCCCTTCAGATCTTTGTTATTTAAAGCTCTGTTTTGCACTGCAACTGTTATGGACAGGCGTGTAGCTTACCCTCAGACGCACGACTTGTTTTTCACTTGATAATATAAAAAAAATATGACTGGGAAGAGAGAAGTGCCTAAAGTAGAAGCCCACCTGATGCTATTTGCACCAAATATCAATATAGCGTTTGAGGGTCGTATTCTAGAACTCTACTCAATGCTCAAGTCAGGATTTGAGGATGGTTTAAAGCACTCGAAATCATACTCAAGTCCCTGCCATTAGGGTCGTATTTCCAGTGCTTATGTTTCCTGTGCAATCCTGACTTGAGCATTGAGTAGAGTTCTAGAATACGACCCTAAGAGTTACTGGCGCGATTCATAGTGTACACCTGGTTCACTGTGGACCATCCTACCCTAAGTATTTTCGATTTTATACAGTAGTAGTACCTACAGTGTAGTATAGTGGCAGAATCCCTGGACGAACTCTAAAAAACATTTTGTACAGAATTGTTTTACGCTGTTCCTAGCGACAACTGTCCCACTGTCATTTAAAAGTCATGATGGAGGCGCTGGGGAATAAGTGGTAACATCAGCCTATAGACAAAATGGTCGATCGTTAGAGGGCTGAACAATATAAAATAATTTAGGGCATGCGTGGGCCGGCTGACATAGTAGAACGTTTTGAATATTATATTTTTAAATACTTCATGTTGTAATATCACCGAAGTTGAAGCATTACTAGTTTAGGGACGCATCGGAAGTGTCATTTTTTGTTTATTACAACTATATGTTATGGGCAATAGCAAGCCAGTCTTTTACTTCTTATCGTATCGATGACATACATTATACTATTGTAGCCCAGAACTCAGCTACGCCGACCGCGTCACTAATAGCTGCAACTAAATTATCAAGCTTGCAAGTGTTAGGGCACGCAGGGCACGACCTGAGGTGGGCCATCGTTTGAGTCGCACCACACCAGCAGTCCAGGCTTGAACCAACCAACCTGAGTTCGAAGCCTATTCATAAACGTCCAGATCGGCCATGGCAATTCATGTCCAGGAGGAAGACTCTCAGAAGGCGGGACAAACGTAGATGGTACTTTTTCGCGCCAAAGGTTGCACCTCGCCTGAGCCGGGCCAATTCTCGAGGATCGACACAGTTGACAAAATTTTTCCGACTCCTCAGTCTCTGTTGCACTGTGAACTGATCATGCATAGGGTGCCGAGTGTCGATGGCCATTTTAGCTCTTTCTCAAGATACCGCTACATTTCTGCGGATGTTTGATAGAGCTATGCCAGCTAGTGAGTACAGCAATATTACCGGGGTTAGCTTAAGACAGCCAGTTATGATCCGGCAAGTCTCATTTAAGGCTGTATCTGCTAATTTTGCATGGGTAGAACGGCTCCAATAGGGCATGCGTATTCGTCAGCAGAAAAGGAAAATACCAGCCCAGTGCGTACGCATGACCTTAGGCGAAGCTCCCCACTTGGTGGTAGTGAAACGCCGCAGTAAATTATTGCGTGAGTGTACCTTCCCTTTGACGCTTTCACAATTCTTCTTAAAAGTAAGGGGCCTGTCCAAATACACGCCAAGATACTTCAGGGTATCACTATGAGCTACAGGAATACCTTGCCACACTATATTAAGCTTTCAAGCCCGCCTACAGTGAGAAAACGCGCTTAAGGTGGTAACGTGTTGGCTTTACTGGTAGTACTTACGATAAGAAAGTGCGGCCTTGTTCTACATTACTGTGCCATAATTCACTTCCGAGAAGAGCTTCCTAATCAAGCGCAAAGCGGTATTTCTGTTCCGGAATAAATGGTGAACAGCTTTCAAAGTTATCTCACAGAAGTTTCGAAAATTTAAAGAAATGGAAAGTAACTTTTTTATAACATCAAGTAGCGGGACGAACAAGTCGTGCGCCTGATGATAATCTACACGCCTGCCCATAACAGTAATAGTGCCACTCAGAGCTTTAAATCGCAAAGATCTGAGGGGCACTGCCACTGCGCCCGTCACTCTGAGAATTAAGTTGACAAGGCCAATGTGCCTATAATATTACCAGCACCCATACCGTTCAAAACCGGAACGCAGTAATGCACACATTACTGCATGGCGGCAGAAATACGTAAGGTGGCAGTACTTCTCTGGACAAACCCTTTCACAAGGAGTTCTTTTAAATACCCGTGTATTAATGTATTTATACTCAAAAGATGCGTATTTTAATGTTCTATATATTTGTAAACATAGACACAACCCACAAAAGGATTGTTTAGCTCAAAAGTTAATCAGGAAAGTGCAGATACCGAACAGGCATTTGCGTAATTCCGTTGTTTATAATGCAAAATCGCTAGGTGCTGTGTCGTGTAGTATTAAAGTTTGACCGTTTTTAAACACATTTTTGCAGTAAAAACATTTTTTAAATTTTTTTGTAATGCAGCGGTTTTGCATTAAGCGACGAAATGATCATAAAAAATAATCGCTTTTAAATCAGTCAATTCGTTGGAAGCTACGATGCCTCTGACAAGTACATAGACAAAGGCTTTTAACTTATTATAACTCCCCTCATTTTACGTCGAGGGCTAAACACTTAATAGCACGGGAAACTCAACTGTACATTTAGTAAATAATTAAGTCCAAAATCAATAAAGAACCATCAAGATTGTTTTTGTCTGATAATTCTATAACAAACGTTTGTTTTCTATAGACGGATTATGCATTATTAATATGATAGATCGTACATCAATACCACATATTTGCGTTCCACAGCTGATCACGGGACTTTGCTAAGGGGAAGAAGACAAGTGTCAGACAATAGTACAATTCGAGACTCTGGCATGACATGAAATGTAAAGGTTTATTTCTGCGATTTTTGGGTACGAAACAATTTGATGTACATATTTTTTTTATATCAAGTGACGGGACGAACAAGTCGTGCGCCTGATGGTAAGTGACACGCCTGTCCATAACAGTTGCAGTGCACTGCCACTGCGCCCGTCAGTCAGAGATATAAGTTGACAAGTCGCATGTGCCTGTAATTTCACCAGCTCCCTTACCCTTCTAAACCGGAAGACAGTAATGCTTACAGTACGGCTTGTCGGCAGAAATAGGTAAGGTAGCAGTACTTCCCTTTTTTTCTTTTTTTTTCCCTGGACGAACTCTTTCACAAGCTCTACTGCTGCAACAAAATATATAACTAAAATAAAAATTTTTAAAAATAAACATAAAAATCTCACCGACGCACACGTAGAACGTGTAACTCGTTGAACCTTCGGACATCGGATAATGGCGGACAAATCGACGCATCCGAAGAACAGAGTCGGATGTGATTATATAGAGAAATGAGATTAAGTACGTTACGAGAATGATTTCGTTATTCAAACCAAGGCCTATATAAAGGTGTTTTGAGAATTTTATATATCAATTTCGTTTCGGAGATATGAAATAGAACAACGGTCGATCTGACATCCACTCGCTAAAAAGAACGAACGAAATGCACTATATCCTGAGAACAAGTAGTCTTACACATAGGTCTTTGTTCTGCGGATGAGGCGAAATATTAAAATAAATAATCTCAGTATTGAGTACTAAAAAAACAGGCCTCAAAAGTTCGTAGAATTACATATATTTGCCAAGTTTTATTGAAAACGCCTAATTTGCCATCCTTAGATGTGGAATATTTTTTTCAAATTTATATGGAACCAATGGTAAGGTACCCTCATTCCAACAAAATAGTATTATTTATATTTATATTTATTTTTAAATACTACAAATTATGGTTATCATTCAGATTGTTACATTAATATTTATGATCATGTCAAAGTATTTAAATTACACCATGTCTAGGATGTCAATATCATACTGTCATTACAATTTTACTGTCCTATTTAATTATATAAGTTAAACTACTTCACAAATTACAGATTACATAAACATTCATATGTCAATATTCTACGCGTTATTTTTGCTGCCCAGAAACACTTTTACGGGGTTGTAACAATAGTTTATTAATATTACGTTTAATTTATGTCTAAATGAATTTAGTGGCAACACTCTTAGGTCACTGGGTAGCGAGTTAAAAATGTTTATGGCCATAAAGAAAGGACAACTTTCTGTTCTCGGCAATATGGTATGTAACAAATTATGTATCAAATTATGTAACAGTATGTATCAAAATGCTGTGGAGCTCCAGACCGGAACGCAGTATGAGATCATTACTGCGTTCCGTTTTTAAACGGTAAGGGAAATTGTGGTGAAATTACAGGCGCACGGGACTTGTCTCAGGTTGACGGTCGCAATGCAGAGACTCTCAGATCTATACGATCTAAAGCTCTGCGGCACTGCCGCTGCGGCAAAGCCACACTTTTTAAGTTAGCTCGATTAGCTTAGTTCGCGGTGTGAACTGTGGGAGCCCCGCGTGGACTTCCGAGCGGAACATCCTGGTTGCCCGGATCGGGCGAGATCTCTCTACGCCAGGCATTGTAGCGGCTATGTTGGCGGATCAAGAGAATCATGTGGCAATGGTCTCCTTCTGTGAAGCGGTGATGCTTCAGACGGAGGTCGCCGACCGTGGTCGGGAGAGGGCCGATCTGAGTGGGGGCTTCGTTCGCCGGTAAGTATTGCAGCTGTGAGGAGGACGACGAGGCGCTGGGGCCCGCTTCGTCGTGAGGAGGGGAGGGAGAGGACGTAGCTCCTCCTAGGTGCTGAAGCGATTCAGGTGCGTAAAGTAGATCCCGGATGCTTCCACCATCGGGTTTTACCCGGTAGAAGCTGCCCTCGCGGCGGAGAGGTATCCTAGGAAGATTCCCCGCGCAAAAAAAATGTTCGCGGTGTGAACCGAAGTGTGAAAAGATGCCCCGGCTACGCGAGCTGAGCTAAGTTTCTCGTGTCTCTTTCCACCAGGTGCACGACTTGTTCGTCCCGTCACTTGGCAACAGAAAACGGAACTGAAATCTTTCTCCTTTTGCAGATTTTATCATGATATTGAAAGAAGGGATAATAAACCAGTCAGTGGAGACCTGGTTACCCGAGATACAGGTTCTCCTAGTTCGCGGACCAGCCTCCACAACCACATTATATTTTAATGTTATGTAAAGCGTCTATTTTATTTTTACAAGCACTGTTTGTGGAGACAATAAATGATTTATGTATTTTTAATAAATCTCGTTAAGTACAAATTACTCCAGCTTATCATCAAGATTGATGAAAACCGAGGTATCGGCTGAAAGCTGCGCTCTAGGTTAACGAATTTGAGTGAATGGTTTTTCCTGCAGAACCACCTCGCATAAGATGCAGCCTCTAAAGTCAATGTACCACCTTATAGGTGCAAGACATTTGCGCCGAAGCAGGCATAAATTTATTATACTACAAAGGTTTAGGTACTGTAGACTAGGCTCTACTCTATGAGTAGAATTGCTGGCTGAATATAGGTAGTGATTATAGTTTTATATTTAGAATGTTAAGGATTGAAATAAGAAAACAGAAGATCTTGACATATTACATATTACAACCTGGACCGAAGGTATAAACCATGTAAAAAACGTGAAATAAACCAAATCTTTGAAGTTAATCCTAGTTTACATTCTTAGAAGTACCTCTCGCTACGCATTAGAGTTACCCCTCAGTACAGTACTATGATCTGTCTTTTTATGAGGACGGAGTAAAACGACATTTGTAGGGTTGCCAGTTTTCATAAAATTTTAAATAGTTATGTAGGTGTTATCGATAGATTGTGAAAGAAGATAAAAATTTGCCAAATGCGACTGAACTGCCAATGTTACGACGTCGTTTAATTGCGTTATTGCCTTCTTTATTCCTATTTTGACATTTATTCATTCATCATTTTAATTCGTATTCATTTTAACAAGAACAGCCGGATTTGATAATCTGTATTGAATTAAAATGAAAACCTTTAAAATATGTCTCCATTTTGTATTTTTAATAGACATGGTTCTACATACAGTGTATGTATGTATGAACTTACAAAAATTGACTATTCAAATGAACTCGTGGTCAGTAATAGGATAAATAATGAGTCGAGGATGGTTCAAATAATCTCAGTACGGAGTACTAAAAAAACCGACCTCAAAAGTACATGGAATAACGTCTATTTGCTAAGTTTTATTGAAATATCCCCTAGTTCGCCACTATACAGGACTTGACACTGGAGATAATAAAAATCGGTTCTCACTACTCAAAGTATATTGAGAGAGAAAAACGCCTTGAATTGGAGAATAGCA